GCTACAAGACAAGCGTATCTTCCACCCCATATTTTCTGATTTCAGCTTCAACTTTCTCGGGATCACATGCTCTAAACCAACTTTCCCCAACCTAATACCTTTAAAATTAAACTCTAAAGATTTGGGGATGGTCACCTATTTATGGAATACTGGCTCTTCTCAAAAGACACATCTGTACTCATTCTATAAATCACACACACACACACACACACTATGCTAACAGGATTAACAGATGTCCCCTATTTCACTGGTTGATGGACCACAAGGGCGGTTGGTGAAGAAAGATTCCAAACAAAAAATTATTTTGTTTAATTACATTCTATCTTTATTATTTTTACTAATAATTGAAGGAGGCAAATATATCCAACACACACCCCTCCTCCTCCTATTTTCCCTACAACAGCAATCCTGTTTGGTGAGTTGGGCTAAGAGAAAGTGATTGGCCCAAAGCCACCCAGCTGGAAGTCATAGCTAAGTTGGAACATAAACATACTGCTTTCTAGCTTGGTGCTTTAACCACTAGCTCTCAAATTTTCATGTGAAATGAGAGATGACACATTTCATGCCTATAGGCAACACATCCTCTCACCCAGAACCCTCCCTTCGGGCTTTTGGGTGGACTACCGTACACTTGCTGTACTTGTAAAAAAACATAGTTGACAATTTCAGAGATTGTAGAACTGAACTTGTTATTGAGAACATTCACCAGGGTTGAATTCTGCAGTGGGTCTACATTCCAGGCGAAACCTGTGACTCCAAATTCCTTTTTCCTATTGCTGTTACAGGGAGCCAGTTTGGTGCAGGACACCAGTCTAGAAAATGGGAGAACATGAGTTCTATCCCCACCTTAGGTATGAAGCCAGCTGGGTGACCTTGGGACAGTCATTCAGTCTCAGCCCCTAGGAAGAAGGTAGCAACAGCAAACCAAAGAACCTCATCAAGAAAAAAAAAACCTGTAGTGAGTTATCCAGGTAGTCTCCAGGAGTAAGGCTCTCAAGGCATCAAAATACTACTACATGCTATTAATAGGTAAACGTTGACTATGATTGTTCTGCCTTCAGCAAGCAGCCTTCCAATGCCGAACCCCAACCAGCCTCTCAGTCTTACAACCCCCCCCCCCCGGTCCCCCAGGAGGTAGCATAAAGCTAAGAAGTAGCCTTTTGCCAAATAGGAAAGATTAGAAAGCAACAATAACTGAAAAGCTGAGCATTCTTTTATGGTCCAGCTGTCCACTCACGTGATCAAGCCGGAAAGAAGAGAGTACAGTATCGAAAGCTGAGCTAAACTCAGGCACGAAGGTGGGTTCCAGGCATTGTAAACAAGGCGAAGGGGACAACCCTCCCTGGATTTACAGGCACTCACATCCTTTCTTATTTATTCCATGCTAAATATCACGATTCTTTTCGGGCCGGGCCGGGCCAACTCGGGCGGAAAGCAAAACAGGACGAAAAGCCTCCAGCGAGGCTAGACCAGAGACGCCGTCTCGTGCCAAGGGCCTCGTGCGTCCAACTCTTCCCCTTCGAGGGGAGAGTCAAGAGGTCGGGCGAAGTCGCGTTCCTGTCTCACTCGGGAGAAGAAAGAAAGTCCCTTCTGGGCTCTTTAATCCTCTCCCCCCGCCCGCCCGCTCCTTTTGCTTAATGAGGACGAGGGGAAAGTTTCCCGCCTCCTGGCACATGCTGGAGCCTTTGGCTCCCCTTTCCCGCTTCCCGGCGGCGGCGGGGGCTTAGCCAGGCAGCTGTTCCCACCTCCTCGTGCCTGGCAGCCCCTCTCCGCCCCTCGCAGTTCTCCGGGCCGCCTGCCAGCCGAGGCTTCCCGCCCTCCCTGCGTGCCTGTGTCTCCGCCGAGCTGAGGGAAACTGGCCCCTCCTTTTACTCTCGTCGACCCCTCCCTCTCTGCCTCCTCCCTCCAACCCGCCACTCCCCCCCCCCCGCCAAAGCTGAAGCGGAGCTGGTGTTTTTCCACTCACCAGGATGGGTGATGCTCAGCGCTCGCTCATTAGAGAACAGACACGAGAGGTCAGGAAGAAAGCGCTTATAAATTACCGTTTCTTCCTCCCCATTGCTGTTAGTCTGCCTTGCCGCTCACGCCGAAGCACCTAAAGGACGGAGGTAGAGGACGCCAAGACGCTGGACAGCTACCTGGTCAGAAAAGAGCAGCTGCTACAGGTACCCAAGGCGGGTTTTCGGTCTTTTTGGAGCGGGGGAGAGAAAGCGAGCGCGGACCACCGCCGACGCCTCGTCTTCTCGCCCTCCTTTCGGGCAACCAGGAACAAAGCAAGGCATATGAGGCGCCCCCCCTTGCCCCCTCCCCACCCCACGTCTTTGTTATTCCCTCCATTCCAGCACCAGAAATCGGGTGGAAAAAACAACAAAACCCCGAACCAACCTCCGTCAAGGAATGGTGCTTCCCCCCCCCCCCGTCTTCTTTGTACCGGGTTCCCAAACGACCCTTTCCTTCCATTGCCCGCCTTTGCTTCCTCGCGCCTGCCTTTCGCTCCGCACTTTCCCCGCGCCTTGTTTCCGAGCGATTCTCCCCCGTTTTTTCTTTCCTCTCCCCTTTTTCTCTTATTAGAGCATGGCGGTTGCCTTTTGTCTGCGTTTTGATAAAATGTGCAGGCACGGACGCCTTTTTTGGTGAAGCCGGGGGGTTTTTTTGGGGGGGGGGGGGGGGTTCTTTCCTTATCTTCGCCGGCGGTCAGCCTGTGATACCTTACGTGCACTTT